TTTCAACAATTCAAAAAGAATATTATCGGCAACAACGTCTTCATCGATAAAAGCCGCCATTGAAACTAATAAAACATTAAACTTGATCAAAACAGAAGCCGAGGATACATACAAACCAGCGCATGAAGTATTCAAATTTGTGCGTTCAAACGTAACTGTTACGATCGTTGGGTAAAAATGGCGCGCGAGAGGACAATAACTATGAACTCATGAGAATGAGCTGAGGGTCACTCATAAAAAAAGAAAATTCGAGGAAAAACTGTAGAAGTATCATTGCTGAAGTTTGAAAAACATAAGACTGATCGTATGGAATCGTTTATTTACAAAACAGAAAACAATGAAGGCTTCGATTGATATTCATCCTCCGAACAATAATGTTTAATTAAATCTAAACTCTCTAAAGATTTATCTCCTCGCGTCAGAACAGAACTCCAATCACTTGTTTACGATCCTGAACTGATATGAGGCAAAACTCAAATAGTTCCGGGTAAGGTAGCTCTTTCAGTGATGCCAACTCTCATACCCACACCTTCGGGTATATTCCTTTGAATGTATTCTAAGAAGGTACTGGCAGTGCTCCCCGTTAAGTTCAAAACCTGAAAATGTAATGATCGAAGGATACTTGATGAATAGTAAACCTGGAATCGGGTTATATGTGTCCTTGTTTCATAGTGCAACTTATACTTCTTATGAACAAATTTTGATCTCAACGTTGGTTGAACCCATCGGACGTATGGTAGAACTTCCGTCTGTCCTCTTGTAATATTCAAATTCTCGCAAACTTGCTTAAAACAAATGATAATTTACTAAATAAGTTGACAAAGAACCTCTAAGAAGTTTGTGTACGACTTCAACACAGCTTTGTCATGTCCGCGATATTCTATTTCCAAAGAACTGAAACTCTATGTTAAGCAGAAGCAGTATGAAGCAAAGTAACCTGAAAAGCTTATCAGGCATTACATATTCTTCTGTCCGTGAAGTGGATGGTGCAACAGATTTGACTGAACGACTACTTGTGAGAAGAGATCGAACGGAAGGCATCAGTGAGGACGCACAAAACCTATACATTCTGCTGTTCGTGTCTTTACCTGCGAGCATCATTATTGAATTACAAATAATCAGAAAGTTATTATTAATATAAGAAAAGTTTCAATAACAAAAGGAGAGCTAAAGCTCCCAG